GTCCCTGTGGATTTGGGGGCTTATCTGGGTGCTGGGAGCTCTGGGGGCATGTTTGGGTCACTGAGAGTGTGAACCTCCCCCTGCCTTGAGCAAGGGCCTGGTCTGGCGCTTGAGGAGCCTTCCCCTCCTCCAGGGCTGGGGGGACGTGGGGGCAGTGTTGTGCTTAGGTCAGCCCCTCCTCACTGTGCTCTCTGCTGCAGGGGATGCCCCCCCGGCTGACTACACCAAGGTGATCACCACCTTCCGTTTCCTGTCGCAGAAGCTCTTCATCTCAGTGTCGGTGCTCGCGAGCCTGGGCATCCTGCTGGCCATCGTCTGCCTAGCCTTCAACATCTACAACGGGCACGTCCGGTTAGTGCCCCCCACTCCCCTGCCCCACGGCTATCCCCCACCCCTCCTGTCTTGGGCTGGGAGCTGGGCTCTGGCCCCCACCTTCCAGGTGGTGGCTGCGTCTGGAGGGGCTGGTCTCGGGGGGAGGGGGCGGGAGCCAGGCTGGGGGTACCCCCCAGGTGGTGGCTGCGTCTGGAGGGGCCGGTCTCTGCGGGGAGGGGGCGGGAGCCGGGATGTGGGGCACCCCCCAGGTGATGGCCGTATCTGCTCTGCAGGTACATCCAGAACTCCCAGCCCTATCTCAACAACATGACGGCTGTGGGCTGCACGCTGGCGCTGGCCGCTGTCTTCCCCCTGGGGCTGGATGGCTACCACATCGGGTCTGGGCTCTTCCCCTTCGTCTGCCAGGTGAGCCAGGGCATTAGGGCTGGGGCGCAGCAGGGCGGGGAGGGCCCAGGACCAAGAATGATTTAGTTGGGGATTGGTCCTGCTTTGAGCAGGGGGTTGGACTAGATGACCTCCTGAGGTCTCTTCCAACCCTGAGATTCTATGATTCTATGAATGGGGGGATGAGGGAAAAGAGCGATGGGGAGGGGGGAGGGCTCGAGTTGGGGTGCTGGCAGGGGGCAGGGCTGAAGACGGGGCCGGCAGGGGCCGGGGGGCAGGACTGAAGCCAGGGGGCCAGCAGGGGGTGAGGGGACAGGGCTGAAGACAAGGGCCCAGCAGGGGATGCCAGCAGGTGGCAGGGCTGAAGGTGGGAGGAAGGGCACAATATGGGGGGCCCAGCAGGGAGCGGGGGCAGGGCGCAAGATGGGGGGCCCAGCAGGGGGCAGGGCTGAAGATGGGGCCCCAGCAGGCGGTGCTCTCACTCTGGTCTCTGCTCTCTGGCAGGCCCGGCTCTGGCTGCTGGGGCTGGGGTTCAGCCTGGCCTATGGCAGCATGTTCACTAAAATCTGGTGGGTGCACACCGTCTTCACCAAGAAAGAGGAGAAGAAGGAGAGACGCAAAGTGAGGGGTGAAGGGGGCGCCGGGTTGCAGGGAGTGGGGTGCTATGTTGGGGGGCACCAGGGGCCACTGTGGAGTAAAGGGGTGCTGGGGGCATTGTGGAGCAGGGTCACTGGAGGGCACTGTGTAGGGGTTGCTGGGTCTTGTGGAGCAGGGGGCACTGGGAGGTGCTGTGGGGGGGTGCTAGGGGGTGCTGGGAGGCACTATCGGGGGTGGCGGGGGGGCACTGTGGGGGGGTGCCAGGGGGTGCTGGACTGTGGCGCTAACTCTGCATGGTTGGCAGACCCTGGAGCCCTGGAAGCTGTACGCCACCGTGGGGCTGCTGGTGGGGCTGGATGTGGTCATGCTGGCCGTCTGGCAAATCGTCGACCCGCTGCATCGCACCATCGAGGTACAACCCCGACATGGCACTGCTGCAGGAAAGCTCGTGGCCCCAGGGGCCCCATGTCGGGGGCACGCGTCAGGGAAGTTCATGGCTCCAGGGGCCCCGTGTCTGGGGCACGCGTCGGGGAAGCTCGTGGCCCCAGGGGCCCCGTGTCTGAGGCACGCGTCGGGGAAGCTTGCGGCCTCAGGGGCCCCGTGTCGGGGAAGCTCGCGGCCCCAGGGGCCACGTGTCGGGGGCACGCGGTGGGGAAGCTCACAGCCCCAGGAGCCCCGTGTTGGCGGCACACGATGGGGAAGTTCGTGGCCCCAGGGGCCCCGCGTTGGGGGTGCGCAGCGGGGAAGCTTGCAGCCCCGGGGCCCCGGCTGGGGGCTCTGACCTGCCCCCCAGCATTCACCCCTCTACCCTCCGTCGCTGTAGGAATTCACCAAAGAGGAACCGAAAACCGACATCGACGTCTCGATCCTGCCCCAGCTGGAGCACTGCAGCTCCACCAAGATGAACACCTGGCTGGGTAAGCTGGGGCACTGGGCACAGGCAGTGGGGGGCAGGGGGATGGGCAGTATCTGGGGGGAGGGGTGCTGACTCAGTGTGGGAGGGGTCCCAGGTTCAGGTGGGGGATGGGCAGTGTTTGGAGGAGAGGGGCCCTGGCTCAGGTGCGAGGGCAGTGTCTGGGGAGTGATCCTGGGATAGTCGACCCACAGCTGCCTGCCCCCTGGGGTGGGGGCCGCTCTTGTCCTGTCCCCCCCCCCCCCCCCCCCCCCCCCCCCCCCCCAGTCTCTTGTGTCCCCATCCTGTTTCCAGCCCCCTGACAGATCTGACCCACGCCCCCGTCCCACACAGGGATATTCTATGGGTTCAAGGGACTGCTGCTGCTGCTGGGCATCTTCCTGGCCTACGAGACCAAGAGCGTCTCCACCGAGAAGATAAATGACCACCGAGCTGTGGGCATGGCCATCTACAATGTGGCGGTGAGTGAGTGCGCCCTGCTGTGACCCACTGCCCCCCAAACCTCACCATCATGGCGGTGAGTGAGTGTGCCCCGCTGTGACCCACTGCCCCCCA